CGCCGCTTGACAAACACTATGTACAGCGTATGTGCAGTGTCGCTACATGCAGCGCATGCATCGTACGTAGTGACGCCGCACATGCACCCTACGAGCGACGCCCTGCCCAGGTGTCACACGCCTTCGTTCGCCCCTGGCATGAGGAGGATGCACAGGCATGCACCCTGAACAGGGAAGGGCACCTGTCTGTTGCGTCTTCCTCCCACAGTTCCTGCAGCATCGCAAAACAGTCGCTGGGCTGGCAGACGGTGAGGAGCAAAATGCCCGCCCCAATGCGCCCGAGGTCACTGCCCTCTTGGCCCTTCCCACGTGATGCACTGGCGGGCGAGGGGAAGAGCGATCATGAGAGCAGGACCGTGGTGCTGGAACTTTCAAAGAGTACATATTCCATTAGCAAAGAAATTCAGATTTCGCGCTCTGAGTAAGCTCTTGCCACTTCAACCAGATTTTGCATATATAGCTTATTTATTTTATCTCCAATGTAGGTTGCCGGTTTAATTTAGATTTGCTTTTAAATCAATGACGGAGGAGCAGGGGAGAGAAAAACCGAGGGGATTTTAGGTTAGGTGGCCTGGCCATAGTTTAGAGCAGGAAATTGGCAGCTGGTTGTGAAAGAGGGAGCTAGGTGAGGTCAGTCCTTACCCAATGGTGGAAGGTTTGCCCAGAGGCTCCAGTTTCAGGCTTCTGAATACATTAACCTTTAAAGCATCATCCCCCCCCCCGAAATAATTCTGACACTGTAGTTTACCCCTGACAGTTACAATTGACCAGCAGCATTAAACAGTGAAATTTTTTTGAAGAAACAATGTGTTTAAAGGTTTAGCCTGTGTTACTGCCTTCTTAATTTTCCAGATTCTCAGCTTCACCTTTTACACAGAATCAACACTACATTGACAGGATGAGCAGAAACAAGTGAAGTGGAAGAGGTGCATCCCCCAAACATGCAAAGAGTATGGAAGCCACAGAAGTTTGCGATCTCCTGCAATGCTCTAAAATGTATCTGAAGTATGTATCCCCTTCAAACCCTAGATGTTACGGCAAATACTGGTGACCAAAGCACTTATAAATATGGATCGCCTCCTTCAACGTCATGGCAGCTAGAAACTTGTTTTTACACTCTCTCTCTCTCTCTCTCTCTCTCTCTCTTCAACACACACACACACACACCACAATGCTAGCTATCAGGTTCTGTGTTTGCATGTGAAGTGCAGAGATGTCATCTACCACAGGAAGATATTAAATATAGCATTGGCATTTTCAGAGGAAGAATGGACTGTGAAAATACTTGGGCTTAGTCCTCTGCTTTGTGAAACAGCTCTGGTGCAGCAAATTGGGATGAATCGCCTTCCAAAACTGATAGTCTCTCACAGATTTTCAGTGTTAGCACAAGCTTCTTGTAGGCGACAGGGAAAAGTTGGGGGGGGAGGCACATGATTAGATGGTAACACTGTATGGCGGTGGGAATGGAGAAGATTACAACATGAATCGGATTTGTATCCAAGGGTAATATTTTACAAGTGTCTCAGGGATTTGGCGCCACAATCCAACTTAGTGGCCCTCTTGTCATAGAGATTTTTTGAAAAGTTTCAGCCTCACCAGGGTGCAAAACACTTAAAAAGGAAAGTTGGCAATGGGAAAGCTCTCTAGCTGTTTGCTGCTCACGTGTATGAGCCAACAAGGGAAACTAATATGAATATTCCCATGGCAAAGCAGACTTGGGGGGGGCTGCAGGGGGGCGAGGCAGTAGCTGGAAATTGCTTCCCTCCCTGTTCCCACTGGAAGTCTTACCATCAACTGAACAAAAACTCTGGATCCAACCCAATGTCGGTACAAAGCTTAGCTGTGACTAATACAAGGGGGTTTGCTTTTAACCAGAAATTTGGCTTTAGCTGGGAAACAGCACACCCTTGTTTTAACATTAACCACTGTTGAGATTGGGGCCAACGCAAACTATAACTGTGAGTCAGGCCAGCAGAAGGGAGGGTGGGAGGAATTTGCACCCAAAAAAGTACAGACTGAAGAAGGGAGTGCAATTGCACATTCTGCTGTGGATCCCTTGACCATGGTTAAGAGATCAGGAGCATTATGTTGGCACCGCCCTCAGTAGTTTAATTGTCAGCAATAATTCAATGCATATACAAAGGAAGAATTCCTTCCTAAACAAAGCAAGCTTTTTGCACTAATTTTTCCCATTGTCAAATGGAAGACTAATGAGGCAGTGGGTCACACACTTGCTAAGCTGCCACAACCAGTTGCAACATACAGTAGACAATGCATGGACTTGTTCTCTTCATTCACATGTCGCTGTATGTTTAACTCAATGTGATGAATAAATCTCTAAAGTCTTCCTTGTGAAGTTAAATATCCTCCTTAAAACAGTAAACAGCTTGAGTGGCTAGTGCCAAATTACAAACAGGGAAATGGGCTGGCGGGGAGTGAAGAGCCATGTGTGTAAAAACACCATCTCAAATTTAAAATAGACAAGAAATATACAGGAATGGTAGTTTAGTTCACAGCCTAGACTGAAACAGCACTAACAAATGAGGTAGATAAGAAAATGAAACTTGAAATGTAACATGGAAAAGCAACTCAGCTGGAATACAACTGAAAAATCCACCCAGTTATTAAATGATACATTCCATTAATATCATACAAGCTTAGTCTCAAAGCATCACAGCAGAAAAAGTGCCTTTTAAAACCCAAAACCAAATTCACAGTTTGATCCTTGTCAGGATTCAGGTTTGAAAGAACAACAAAATGTAAGGAGGGGGGGGGGACTGGATAGTAAATGTTCTGCATTAAATGTAGAGATTCAAAACCCAACATATAAAACATACCAATATTTTCCTGTTTTGTCAAACGTACATTTCAGTGCCTCTCTCCATTTTCTAGACTGTGGTTCACTCAGGTCTCCACAGCTGCAGAGATGGGAGTCAGGTCAAGTTTGTCTTTATTTCCTCCAAAGTTTGAAGGCGACGTGAGAAGAAGCATCACTGCCCACTGTGCACTGATTCGCCACCCCCTCTACTGTCACCGATGGTCAAACAGGCTTTGGTTATGTTTCAAAATCCCACAGACACATGTTTAACCAAAGAATTGTGGGGCAGGAAAAAAAATCACGCACACTTAAGGGCAACAATGGCTCCATCACACCCTGGTATGGACTTATCCCCTGATTTCTGGCCACATATTGGCAGGAAACCAGATGTTACAAAGTACACATGGCAGCCCCACATACTCTACAAAAAGAATATGTGAGCACAATGATGTCACATCACATGTTCCTTTGCCAGAGGTTATGGAGGAGAGGGGTGGCGGTTCTTTGGGGCAGCAACCACTCACCCTACGTAATCCTTAATTCCATCCTAGCTTTTAATGCCACAGACAGTGGTGTAAGCACTGGCGAACATAGGTTACTTCATGACCACCATTTTCATTCCATTATCAGAAGTGAGACAGACGAACAAACCATGTCAGGATTTGCAAAAGGGAGCCCCCTATTGTCAAATGTGAAGCAATGGCTCTGGGAACTCCGAGCAGCATGGAATGGTCAGATGGCTCAATGCACAAGACACAACGTGAGATTTACAACAATAAGCAGGAAACCTTGATTGGACCAATGGAACCCTGACACATGAACACCAGTGTTCAAGGACACATGCTTGCAATTTGCACTGTGCACGTCTGCCACAAAAAACACTGGTGTACCACTGGTGTACCCAAGGCACACACAATTGCTGGGGGGAATAAGGCCCTCTACCATTTCCTAGCAGATTTGTGTTTTCAAGGCTTTCAAGTCGGCTAACTTGGCAACAGTTTTCAAAGACAGCACACATGCTTTCCTACAAGTTATCCTAACTAGAAAACATGTATTTGTAGTCAAAGTGTCTGTTTTAAAAGAGATAGCAGGGGAACATTTTTTTAAAAAAACAAACAAACAGGATTGTGTTTCTATTTTGCAAAAAAGAAAGAAAAAATACATAACACTGTTCTCTCAGTTCTTCAAACTGAACCCCCACCCCCACCCCAAAGTATATATAATTCAGCTGCTGCAGATCCTAATGAGAGATGCAGCAATGCGCTGTTTAAACATCATCAAACTTCAAAAGACTAGAACTACTTTTTTTGACTTTCCAGTAAAAATCTGAAAAGATACTAAAGATTATCTATCACAAGGCACTGCAAATCTTTGCAGGCAGAACAAGGAGGCTGCATAATGCATGGGAAACAGGATCTTTTTGTTCATGGTGGGGAGGGAAGGAAAGCCACAAAACTTCCAGAGGCTCCCAAATTCACTGGAGCTTCAAGTGTCCCTTTGAGAGGCTGAGTTCAAACAAGTAGCCTGTCTCTGCAGCTACTCCAAAAAAAGGGGGGGTGGGATTACAGGTAGGCCCAAACCAAAGTACTCTGATTTATTTAATCCCATCATTTTAAACAGGATTTATCTAGTTGAAGTCCAAATAACTTTACTGTAGAGAGATACAGCCTCCCTCCTCTTCAATCTCTAAATATTCATCAGCAAAGCAAGCCAGCTTCCATGTTCAACAGCAATGCAAATCTCTTACAGCACTCCGAGGACAAACATTTAACTTTGTTAACTCAAAGTGAACCAGAGCTTGGAACCAGTTCCCTGACATATCAGTCCAGATATATCAAGGGAGAAAACAGGTCAAGGTGTGCATCAGGAATATATTTCAAGTATTCTGGGGTCCAAAAGAATCAACTGCTACATGAAATATTACCTTGAAAAAAGTTTAAGACTGTAAGTCTTATAGTCTTAAGACTCAGTAAATTAAGACCTCCATAGTCTATGGCCCAGTTCACATGTAACATTAAATAATAGTTTAAAATAAACTATGGTTTAAAACACAGGACTATATCATGCAAGGGAGGAAACAAGCCAGAGTCTGGCTTGTTGTGATGTGTGAATTCGGTTTGTGGTTTGTTTCCTGCAGATAAATCATGTGGTAAGCCAAGAATAAACCTTGGCTTCTATTCTCTGGGCAGAAAAAAACCCATAAGTGAGGATTCACATGTCACATCATGATAAACCAGCCTTCGCCTTATTTCCTGGCTCCACTGTCAGGGATGGGGGAAGAGCAAGGTACTAATATAGGCTAAACCATAGTTTAAACTATAGTGCAATGTTGCATTGCCCTTGGCCCAACTGACTTAGTCTCCTGCAGAGATCAACTTGCAAGCATGGTCCTTATAGGGCAGCTGAAATATAGTTTATAAAATAAGGGGGTTATGTGAGTTACAAGACTCCAGCAGGAAATGGACTTTCATGCATGTAACCTATTCAGCATAGTTTTAGATCTCTTGCTATTTTTGAACAGGCACATTTTTCTCTTTAAGTCAGAAAACCAGAAAGCCTGTCACAGTGGAACCTGGCACTACTTTCTTGCCATCATAAATGCATGTACAACCTATTCAATTTTCAAAAGTTCTCCGTAAAGATGGGACTTCTTAATCTTGGCAGTAGGTGACCAAAGCACAGCAACCACTTAGGTATTTTATGCTGCAAGAGACAACACTAATCAAAAGCAGGAGCATCTATCCATTCAAATCCACTGTAAGGCAGTCAACTCAATGCAAAACTCTGTGCACCTGTTCCAAGCATAACTTTCAGTCCTTAAAACTGTGAAGTATGGATCATAAAAGAGAGGCAAAGGGGTGGGATGGGAGATGTTTTTAAATACCATTTGGCTGTTTCCCACTCTGTTCCCACCCTTTCTGCAGCTTCCTCTCCACCACAACAAACTAACTGCAAAATAAATTTTTAAAAAGCTACATCCCCCAAACTCAATACTAAGTTTAGTCCGACAGCCCCAAAGGATCCACTGAATGTCATGTGCGTATGAGGATTGAGCTGCCATTATATAAACAGCTGTACTAAATTGCTCAAGAACAACTACAAGCCTTTCAGTAACAGGTAATAGGTGGCATTTTTGTCTCTTCCTTCAGTGGTCCTCCAACTGTAAAAGGCCTGTCACTTGGGGTAGGAGAGGGGAGAATTTAAGACAGGATTCAGTGACAGCAAATCTTTCTGCAAATAAAATCCCCCCCCCCGTCAATGAAAGCTGCCAATGAAACCAGACAGAAATGTAAAATTAAAAGAGGATCCAAAGTGTCACTTTCCCTGCTGCTCCCACTCCTTCAATAAATTAACTCAAATGCCAGTATGTGAACAATTTAAAAAGGGTTGCTATCAGCCTCAAAAACTCAAGGGACCTGGGGCCAGAATGACAGGGAAGGGTCATTAATAAGCAGCACATGGGCATGCTGTCCATCTCAGGAACAATGAGATGCACAGGCCAAAGCTCTCTCAAGTATGATATAAAAAAAATCCCCCCAAAGAATATTATATCAAGTATTCAAATAAGAGAATGCACAGGCAATCTCCCACCACATTGCTGCTCTGGGGAATTCACCCCAAAATCCAGGCCGCAGAATGCAAGGCAGAGGAATGGAATCATGAGTTATAGGCACAGTCCCCATATCTATCATCCTTTTAGCTGTCCGCCTTCATTTGGGACTTGGGGGGATGGGAGCTGGGTTTTGCACAGGTGATGCTGGAAAGGCTGGCATGCTTATCCCTGGCTGAAATGGTCCCACAGGCTGGGCAGGGACAACAACAGACTGCTGGGCTGTCCCTGAAATGCCCACCCATTGCACTGGGTAAGTTGTCCCTGTCATGGTGTTATACTGGCATACGTGGGGTACTCCATATGGCGATAGTGTGCCGGTAAAGGGGGACAGGGGAAGTCCTTGGGGCAAAGCAGCTGGTACGGTCCCTCGGATCTGGGAAAGCGAGGAAATCCATGTGGACGTGTAGCCCACTGTAGATGTTGTCGTCTTTAAAAACAAAAGAAACAAGAAACTTATTATGATGATGATAATATTAGTATTATTAAAATGTGTATACTGCCCTATACCTGCAGGTCTCAGGGCGGTCACAACTTAAAATCACAATATAAAAACACAAAATGCATCATAGAAACAAAAACAACCCAATAACTGCCCCGCCCCCCGCCCCCCACATTTTAACAGGGCATGTCAATCAGCCAAAAGTCTGGTTAAAAAGGAAAGTTTTTGCCTGGCGCCTAAAGGTGTACAGTGGTACCCCGCAAGACGAACGCCTCGGAAGACGAAAAACTCGCTAGACGAAGGAGTTTTTCGTTTTCTTAGCCGCTTCGCAAGACGCATTTCCCTATGGGCTTGCTTCGCAAAACGAAGCTTGCCCCGCAAGCTCCGGGGATAGCGGGGAAGCGCAGTGCGTCTTCCCCGCTGTCCCCGGACCTCTTTTGAAGCAAGGGGCGGTGGGGAGAAGATCGCTTCTCCCCGTTGCCAGCCCCGCAATCTCCGGGGACAGAGGGGAAGGCGCTTTAAACAGGTCCGGGGACAGAGGGGAAGGCGCGCACACCTTACCCTCTGTCTTCGGAGATTGTGGGGCAGGCAACAGGGAGAAGCAATCTTCTCCCCGCTGCCCCTTGCTTTAAAACATGTCCGGGGACAGAGGGGAAGGTGCGCGGCGCTTCCCCTCTGTCCCCGGACGGTCTCCATAGGAACGCATTGATTGATTTTCAATGCATTCCTATGGGAAACCGTTCTTCGCAAGACGAAAAACTCGCAAGAAGAAAAAACTTGTGGAACGAATTAATTTCGTCTTGCGAGGCACCACTGTATAATGAAGGTGCCAGCCAAACCTCCGTGGGGAAAGCATTCCTCAAATGGGGAGCCACTGCAGAAAAGGCCCGTTCTCATGTTGCCACCCTCTGGACCTCTTATGGAGGAGGCACATGATGAAAGGCTTCAGAAGTTGATCTCAGGGTCTGGTAGGTTCATAGGGAAAGAGGCACTACTTGAGGTACTACTTAAAATGAGAGGAAGTCATTGCTTCAATTGATTCTGTACCTTGTTGCTGTATCTTCCTAACAAAGGAGCACAGGAGATGTAGGAAGTGAAACAACTCAACCCTGCCAGTGGCGAAGAAGTCAAATGAGGACTAAGGAGACCCAGGTTCAAATACTCAAACAGTCATAAAGTTAACTGAGTGGCACTGGGTCAATCATCGTATCTCAGCTGAACTTATTCCACAGTGTTGTTCTGAGGATAAAATAATGAGAGCAGCCTGAACTCTGCCGAGCTCCTTAAAGGAAAGGCAGGAGCCAAATATAATAAATAAATCCTCATGATCACCATGAAAACTAAAAGCCTGGATTTTTCCAGTCTAACTGAACTGGAGATGGCTCTCAAGGTGGTAACATTTCCAACTGTTGTAGAGACTCTCAGAGGTGGGTAGACACACTTAAGCACAAATTCTGGCATGTGGGAGGCAGCAAGGATGTTCCTTTCAGATCTTTATCTCTTTTCCAAGACTTATACAATTTTCTAGGGAGAAGCTACTCTTTTTAGACACCTGCTCCCAGTTCTGCATCCTAGAACTGATGTGGTACCTGTGTCCCCATTCCTCCATCTGTCTGTCCTTCTGGGGCTTCCCAGGCCCATTAATGCAAGACGGGGGGGGGGGGAGCTTCTATAACTCTTTGGTTTAGATCCACTCCGCTAGTTTTGGAGTGAAGATTAAACCTAGTTTTGGAGATTAAACCTAGGAGCAACCCTCTCCCCTCCCCTCCCTGAAGAGGTGACAATCCTGAGTTCACACGGACTCCAGCTATTACACATAGTGTAATAGCTAGAGAAAAACAGGTGCCTCCCCATAATGCCTGGGTTCTGAAAATGATTAAGTGGGGGTGGGGAGCAAGGTCACCCCCAGCAGGACAACAGCTAAGGTATCTCAGCTTGCACAAGCTCACCCTTGTGAACTTTATTTTATGAAATCCCACACCCCCCCTCACCTCATATACTTTGCTCCAGCTGTCGGAGTCCAGCCGATGCTTGTTCTGTTTGATCTGGTTGAGACTTGGCTTGATAAGGGAGTTCCCCACCTTTTCTTTTGTCCAGTCGTCCACCAGTTTGTGCAAGTCATCTGTGAACATCCCTTTCTTACTGGACGTCGTCTGCTGACAAGAAGCAGTGCTGCTGACGATGCAGAGCTGGTCTAAGGAAGTGGGAAATATTTTAAAGCACATTACAGAAAGCAGAAACAATCCGTAAAAATGGGATGTGCCGTTTGGGTCTCTTCCCACAGGGTAGGGCAGCAGCGTAGATTGCGTGGCTGGTGTGGGTACATGTGCCCCGGAGTGGAGTGTGCGTGAACAGAGCCCTCACCCAGCCCACACCACTAATGCCGCTGGAGTGCCCTCCCCCTGCCACCAAGTAGGGCTGCGCTGCGCCCCTGCCACCTGCAGCCCTTGGAGGGCGCAACGCACATATACCCTAAGGGCGCACTCTGCCTTCCAGCTCTGCGCCGCTTAGCGATGCTGCAGTGCTGCGTGAAGCAGTGGCGTCGCAACCGGGGGGCGTTGCGCCCCAGGTGCCATGTCAGGGAGGTGACAAGAAGGCACCCCGCGGGTGCCTCTGCTGCAGCTGCAAGCAGAGGATTCCAGTGTCGGCAGCAAACTGCTATGTACAGCATATGTGCGGCGTCGCATGCATGCGCTGTACGTAATGCGTGTAGAGGATCTTCCGTTCGCAACTGCAGCCGCGAGCAGAGGATCCCGGCACCGTCCATATGGCGCTGGAGCGGCGCCGCTGACAAACCACTATGTACAGCGTATGTGCAGTGTCGCTACATGCAGCGCATGCATCGTACGTAGTGACGCCGCACATGCACCCTACGTAGCGACGCCCTGCCCCAGGTGTCACACGCCTTCGTTCGCCCCTGGCATGAGGAGGATGCAACAGGCATGCACCCTGAACAGGGAAGGGCACCTGTCTGTTGCGTCTTCCTCCCACAGTCCTGCAGCATCGCAAAACAGCGCTGGGCTGGCAGGACGGTGAGGAGCAAAATGCCCGCCCCAATGCGCCCGAGGTCACTGCCCCTCTGGCCCTTCCCACGTGATGCCACTGGGCGAGGGGAAGAGCGATCATGAGAGGCAGGACCGTGGTGCTGAACTTCAAAAAGTACATATTTCCATAGCAAAGAAAATCAGATTTGCGCTCTGAGTAAGCCTTGCCACTTCAACAGATTTGCATATATAAGCTTATTTTATTTTATCTCCAAATGTAGGTTGCCGTTTAATTTAGATTTGCTTTTAAATCAATGACAGGAGGAGCAGGGGAGAGAAAAACGAGGGGATTTAGGTTAGGTGGCCTGGCCATAGTTTAGAGCAGGAAATGGCAGCTGGTTGTGAAAGAGGGAGCTAGGTAGGTCAGTCCTACCCAATGGTGGGAAGGTTTGCCCAGAGGCTCCAGTTTCAGGGCTTCTGAATACATTAAACCTTTAAAGCACATCCCCCCCCCCCGAAATAATTCTGACACTGTAGTTTACCCCTGACAGTTACAATTGACAGCAGCCATTAAACAAGCTGAAATTTTTTTGAGAAGAAAAATGTGTTTTAAAGGTTTAGCCTGTGTTACTGCCTTCTTATTTCCCAGATTCTCAGCTTCACCATTTACACAGCATCAACACTACATTGACAGGATGAGCAGAAACAAGTGAAGTGGAAAGAGGTGCATCCCCCAAACATGCAAAGATTGGAAGCCACAGAAGTTTGCGATCTCCTGCAATGCCTCTACAACATGTACTGAAGTATGTATCCCCTTTTCAAACCCTAGATGTTTACGGCAAATACTGGTGCACCAAAAGCACTGTATAAAATATGAATCGCCTCTCAGTCATGGCAGCTAGAAACTTGTTTTTACACTCTCTCTCTCTCTCTCTCTCTCTCTCTCACACACACACACACACACACACCACAATGCTAGCTATCAGGTTCTGTGTTTGCATGGTGAAGTTGCAGAGATGTCATCTACCAACAGGAAGATATTAAATATAAAGCATTGGCATTTCAGAAGAGAAGAATGGAATGTGCAAATACCTTGGCTAGTCTCTGCTTGTGAACAGCTCTGGTGCAGCAAATGGGCCTGAATGCTCAACTGATAGTCTATCACAGAGGCAGCAGTGGTAGCACAACAGCATTCTGTAAGGCGAAGGAAAGTTTGGGGGGGGGGAGGCACATGATTAGAGGTAACAAAACTATGGGGTGGGAATGGAGAAGATTACAAATGAATGGATCTGTATCCAAGGGTAATATTTACAAAGTTGTCTCAGGGATTTGGGCATCCAACTAGTGACTCTTGTCAAGAGATTTTTGAAAAGTTCAGCTCACCAGGGCAAAACACAACAAAGGAAAGTGGCAATGGGAAAGCTCTCTAGACTTTTGCTGCATCACGTGTAATGAGCCAACAAGGAAATAATATAGAATTCCCATGGCAAAGAATGCAAAGTGGAAAGGAAAGCTTATCTTGTGAACCAGACTCTTTCATGCATTTGTGAACTTTAGACTTTTCTTCTACATTAAGGAACCCTTCACCTTTGACAATTCCCTACACCGGCACCCATATTCTGAACCACCTCCCACTCCCATCTCTTACCGGGAGCAACGATGCCATTGTCAACATGCGACAGAGACTGTGGCCTGCTACGCAGCTTGCTTTTGAAAGACTTGGGCCGGCGTGGAGACGACAGTTGCAGGGAGATGTCAGAGGATTCTGACCTGCTATCTTTGATGGAACGCAGCCGCTCATACAACTCCTGCAGCTCCCTGTTCTGTTGAGCCTGAAGGTTCACTACCTCCTGAATGTGTCTACACAGAAGAGGAAGAGAACAAAGCCTTTAGGACAAAGCCAAGCCATGGCTTACTCTATACCCCCCTCAGCAGCCACTTGACGCAGGCAAAGGGGTGATGGACCAGCTGTGAGACTTTCAGCCCAGGGAGCAGGCAAAGACTTTGATTGTGCTAAGGTTCAGGGTTAGGAGCTCCTTTACTTTCTCCTCACTCACATGGGTTGCTGTGGGAGGTGTGAGCCAAAAGGACTTCTTGGCCGAATGCAGGGGTCCTCCCAATTGGCTCAGCAGTTCCTAAGTCTGCCCGCCCCCCATTTGTAGCATTGGATTGTACTCTTTATTGAGACCTGGGACACACAGCATGGGAAACTTAAGCTGCTCCACAGGTGAGGGGTTTTCCTGCAGCCCATGTGTTCCTGGTATATATGACTATGGACTCAGCTAGACTGGTAAAGAAAAAGCATTTTATATGCGTTGTAAATGCAATCTGACACTGTGACACCAGATGGCGCTGTGGAGTCCTGTCTTTCCCTACCGGATTTCCCTGTATGAGTTTGCAACGCGTTTAACTGACAATCGCTTCTTTGACGTGTCTCAATCCAGCATACGTCTTGAAACTGAGGGAAGCAAATGTCCCACAAGGTATCTGCTTCCTGTTTGCTGCTATGGCTAAATAGTCAGGGAACTGTTCTGTGGCGTCTCCAGTGTGGGTTCATGTGCACGAGCTCCCTGTCTTTTGCCTCTGCGATGACTACTGCTGGCTCAGGCATACTAAAAGTGCATGGGAGTCATATTCCCCTTGTTGGGGCATGCTCTTGCATCTCTCGTTTCCCAGCCATCTTCCCTACACTGTGAGTTACTGGAGGCTGCTGCTGTCAATGTGTGGCTGTGGCTCCTCTTGGGCCTATCCTGCTCCTTCCCTTTCCCCAAGTGGCAAAATGCTCTTTTTCTCCTTTGGTGGCCTTGAATTCTCGTCCCTTTGCAGGCGTTCTCCCAAGGCAGCAGTTTGGATGTTGTGTTATATGGCTTCTCTTTCCTTTCTTTTGTGTTGTGAAGAAAAACAGTACTTGTCAGCAGTGTGCAGTGTAAGAGGAACTGGACTCCTCTGTTCAGGGATGCCTGCGGCTCTTGGCCACTCACACAGCAGAAGGTGCTGGGACATCATTGTATATTTGTATTGTATTGTATATTTGGCAGACTGCATGCTGCGGGTGGGGCACGGGTGCAGCAGGGGTGCCTCTATGTCAGCATAAGTCAGTTGGCTCTGTCGGGTGGCCATAGGGCATTTTAGCCACATTGGCCACAATTAAATGTTCAGGTGCAGGCGGCATTGCCATGGCTGCTGGGGGTGGAGCTGCTGCTGCTCCACCCTACTCTTTTCAGAGCCATGTGTCCCCCACCCACCTTCTGTGACGGGCAAGGGTTGGATATGGCAAATGTTGTGCCAGTTTAGTGGCAGCTTCCCTGTCTCCCTAGGGTACTAGAGGATAAGGTTGCTCTGCCCTACTTCTACTTAATATATCACACATCTATCGTAAGGGCTGCAGTGTTTAATAGCTTCACCTAGACTGATGTATTAATTAACTTTTTTGCTTGATTAAAAAGCTGCCCTTTGCTAACCAGGCAAAATATTTTGTAAGGTAATTATTTGTAAGGTAAGTACTTACAACTCTGTGGCTGAAAGTTCCTTCTTAGAAGAGGCATTGCTCCTTCTCTCACCCAGAAGGGAAGGCCACTTCTAAGATTAAGACTACTATGATGCAACTATACATAATCTAAAAAGAAGAAGAAATAACGATTCCCCCCTTCAGAATTAGTTTCCTTCATATGAAAATTTATGTAGATTCAGTTACATTGATTGGTTGTATGACAGATCACCTGAGAATTCCGTCATCAAATGGCCATCCAATCTGGCTTGCTAAATAGTGGCAGAATCATTTGGAAGTAGCAGACTCAGACTTACCGAAGCTTTGTGATATTATCTAACTTCAAAATCAAAAAACGAATGTAATGGAACACAAAGAAAGTCTTACTCTGCTCCACCCTTTTCACATTTTGATCCCTCGTTATAATGAGAACCTTGACGAATATGTTACAAGCCCCCATTTTAGTGCCCTTACTTCTCCCGCAAACGCTGCAGCTCCACCTTCAGGTCCTCATCTTCAATCTCAGACTCATCATCGCTGCTCATTGGGGAAGAGGGGGAGTAAAAGAGTGAACTGCGCCTCTTTACGTGGGTGCCATCCCTCTCCTCTTGTGACTGCTGGCTTCGCTCCCAGCCCTCCAGGCTACCACCCATGGGGGCAGAAAGTTCACTGTCAGAGCTAGGCTGCTTCCACACGAAACTGCCTTTGGGCCATGGCTCTGAGAAGGACTGCATCCTGCTAGCGATAGCAGACTTCTCCTCCAGGTCCCGCTGCTCAGGGGTGGTAGGGGATGCATCTGTTTCACCCATGGCACCAGCCAAGATAGCAATTTCTCCTTTTCTGGGAGCCTCTTCTTCTGGACCAGGTTCTGAGGAAGGAGGCATCTCACAGGGTTCACTTTCTGAACCACCTGAAGCCTGTGGCACTGTGATGACCTGAAGCACAGACAGAGAAAGAGAGAGGCAGAGAGAGAACGTCAGCTGAGTAGGCTCCCTTTCATAGAAAAGTTGGCCTAGTGTGGGGCAGAAAAATGGGCAGGATTTGGTCCCCAAGGAATATTTTTTTACAACTTCAAGCCCAGGCGGCAGCTCCCACTTTGGTATCTTCAACATGACACACTTGTACTAGTGGGCCTCAGATTGTAGTTAATTAAGAGTGGACAAGGAATGAGCAGGGGTTGCAAAGAGCCAGGATTCCTGGGGTTTCATTTCCTTAGTTGGATTTTTAACCTACTTTATCTCCAAATGCTTAACCCGGGAACAAGATACATTTATAACAATATCATTTAAAATAGATTTAAAATATGAAATATTAAAAATATTGCATATGTTTTTTTTAAATGTTCAACCACATCTTGCACAAATAAAAAGGTTTTATGTATGTTAGCTACTAAATGCAAGAAGAGAAGAGTTTGGATTTGATATCCCGCCTTTCACTCCCCTTCAGGAGTCTCAAAGCGGCTAACAATCTCCTTTCCCTTCCTCCCCCACAACAAACACTCTGTGAGGAGAGTGGGGCTGAGAGACTTCAAAGAAGTATGACTGGCCCAAGGTCACCCAGCAGCTGCATGTGGAGGAGCGGAGACGCGAACCCGGTTCCCCAGATTACGTGACTATTGCTCTTAACCACTACACCACACTGGCTCTCACTGCACACAAAAGCTTTGACTTACATGACCTAAATAGGAGAGCAAATTCTTATCTTCCATTCAGAAAAAGGGGGAAACAGTGTATCATGTCATGCCAAGAGAGACCTGGACTACAGGGACATAAATGTCAGCTGACCCTACTGCTAAGAAGACCACACCAAACAAAGAATAAACTCCCCTCACCCCATGTATTAAATATCTATGAAGAGAGGACTTCAAAGAGAAAATACCAGATACACTAAGAAAACTGTCAATAATCAGCTTCATAGATTTCTTTAAAAACTACTTTGAATTAATATGTATTAATATGCCTTGCAAAGGCCTGCTAGGAGATCCTATAGCAACTGCAGCAAAACTATCCACACTCAGGACAAAACTGAGTGGTTTCATAAGGGCTGCAACACATTGAGGGGGGAACAGAGAAGGTGAGAGACAGACGGGGGAAACGTACAGCAATTTAAAGCACAGGGAGCTACATGATACAGACCTACATACGGTTCACCAGGAAAGATACACTATAAGAATGCAAAATGCTTAATAGTGCATGAAGAATTACTGCAGAGAGATGGAGCAACAGACACAGCTCTTTTCATTATCTGAAAAGAACCCATAGGCACTGGTAACTCCTCTTTCAGACAATTTTTTACTAAGAGCTGGAGAGTCCCCTCTAGTATTTGGAAAACACTCCCTTGACCCATCTGGTCAAGCATCATGCCACCTCTGAGACCGCTTGTTGCAGGAATTTCTCTAGTCACTGCAGGTAGGCAGACAGTTCTTCTCATCACCTTTGCATGTCGCTATAAAATCTATAGTTAAGTTCCTCAGCACTTTTCATACTCCCAAATGTAGATTCCAAAGCTTCTAAATATTCATGTACCCTGATTTGGGAGGTTACCTCTCTGGTAGGCTGAGTATGATACCTGTTGCAAGCCACACATATTGCAAGAACACAGCTCAAGGCTCAGGGGAAGCTGACTGTAGCAGACACACTTACTGGTAGCAGAGAGTCACAATAGGCAAGTCAGGGGTTTTTCAGGACCCTGGACAGAGCACCACAGATGGTGCTGGCTCATGTGCTCGCATTTACACACAAGGAGAACTGTTGCCTCAGCGGAGTGCAGAGGCTGGCTGATCTGGTATTGTTCACACTCCCTCTGAGGAACAGCCAGTGTTCTCAAAAGGCCACTGCCTAATTCTGCAGCCTTTGCCTCCTACGTTGTGCAACGGTGAGGACTGTACTGGGCATGTGTCATCTGAGCCCAAGGAGTCTGGCAAGACCTTGTAGCCTGAACGCTTGTAGAGTGGGAAATGATCCCACCCCAAGCAGTGCCTCCATCTCCTTTATGACTTCCTTTGAGCCTAAGGGTGACTGAGGCCAGAGAATGTGATGAACACCTCCTTTTTAAATCTCTAGTACTTGTCAGTCCTACATCAGTGCTGTAACGTGCTTGATTCATGCATCAAGATTGTTCCTCCCCAATCCCCGGGTAACATGTACACAGAGGACCCTCAGTTTTCAATAAGGAATAGCTTCAGGAAGGTTTTAGCATCCTCCCCGATATCTTCCCCACAATATGTATCATTGTAGCACTGGGAGCACTGGTTTCAAAGTAAAAACTGTCAGACCATAGCTGCAAAGGTATTCTCCTGTTGCTCTAGAAAGTATACAAGGTTTTTCCTCCCAGTAACTACATTTTGTATTGAATATACTTTTTATGACTGCTAAGTGTCCAGACTCAGTTTGGTGTATACACAATTGTCCCGCAGGGTGTGCCATTCAGGCAATGTGCCTTCCCACCTAAAGAGCAACCAACTCAACCTTGCATAATTTCCCCCCCCCCTACATCCTCATCAAAGTCTTCAGATCTCTGTTGACCAATGTCTATATGACCCAATGCTTTCTTGGTATCATGACCCCAATCCCAGGCTCTTGCACTACACTGAGAAAGATACTGATGAGGAAATAATACATGCTGCTCTACTTAGAGGGCCCTCAGCATCTCTCCCTGGGCTCTTCTGGCCCAACAACGGAGCTCTCAACCTTCCTCAAACAATGAGCCTCCAATAATATTGATATCCCTTCCATGGCACAGGAATCAATGCTTGCAGAATAGGATGAGGCCCTTTAGGTCATCAAGGTAGTTGAGGCCAACTACCTTGCCAGCCTACTTTAGGCCTCAGTTGGTCCTAGCTCTCTGCTGAGACACCGCTTTCCAAAACTCAGCCAGCAGGGCTATTGGGGATTTCCCAGGGTCCTGACTGGCTTAGGCAATCTGCCATTCTTTCCTCCCTGCTAGAAAGTTGTAGGAGTTATCTTCATTTACACAACTTTTGGCTCAAGCTGCAACTCAGGAAAATTTGGACCTCAATTTGTCTGTTTGGGTAAAGGCTTCCCCCCTCACAGATCTGAGATGTAGTAAAAATAAAAGTATTTAATCCAATTACAAAAAAGAAAAAAGGAAGAAACAACAGCATGAAAAACTGGCTGCTTTGTCAAATAGCCTGTGCACTCTGTTTATGGGGTGACCTTCAATGGAAAACATTGTTCTTTGTAAAATACATGGCTTGCTCCACATGATGCTCTGACTGATGTGTGGGTTTGTGGGTGGGGAGATGTTTCTCATATCCACTCAGCAAACTGAACAAGAGTAGATGGAAAGAAAGACCCATAGGGATTTTAGCTCACTTAGCTCAGCTCAAAGCAGTGATAAAAACTAAGATGACAACAGCTTCTTTACTCTTCATGAATCAGATTAGCAAAGCTTGCAATAGTACCAGCCTCTTCCTTTCAGAAGAGTCAGCTCACAGTCCTTTAAAAGCTCTCACATCTGGAGGGTTTACAGCAAAAGATTAGCTCTGAGCAGCGACCAACTATGTCCCTGGAAAGTTCAGTAAAAATGATCTCTCCTTATTCTAGTATTTGTTTCTTGCCACTAGGTGGCTCCAATTTGATACCTCCCATTCCCTGAAGTTTTATACCTCCAAGAGTATACGTTGAGTCACAATATGAAGCTGTGACAAAGATTTGTTTCATAAATGCGAACTATAGATAAACTTGGCAAAAGCTGAAATTGTGATTTTCACAATAAATGAAATAGTGGACTGAACATGCATTATATAACTCATAATTGGCGCATCATAACTTTAGACCAATTATCCAAGCCCTTTACTGCTTTAATGCAACGAACAAGCCACAGCCAGAATGCAAATCTCCAACAAAGCCGTAGTTCAAACTTCAGATTAAATCAAATGCTTTATCTAGTTAAAATAAGATGGCTCAAACCTACACCAGCTGCAAAAAATAAAATAAAAATCCAAATATGGGGAAATGCCAGCAAAACCTGGTCCAGGAGGTATGCCTAATAGTCAACATATCAAAAGAGTTGGTGGGGCAATGGTAAATTTTGCCTTCATTTTGCCTCTGTCACTGTCATCACACACTCTCCCAGAAGGTTGTCCAGATGGGAATGTGGCTATTAGCCTGAAGACAGTCCCCCACCCTTGAGCTCTTTTGAGCAAAGCAAGGTAGTAATGAAAACAGACAGCGGAAGACAATCATTGCATGCATATTTGGATTTACATGGTTTTGTGGATTACATTATACGCACCTGAAATCGGCCTCGCTGGAATGATCCAGCCACAGATTGACCGGGTGCTTTATTCTGCACTGTTGCATGTTCAGAGAGAGAAATCCAATCAGGAGCAACATCGCCAGTCATCTCCTCTGTTGTGTAATTTATTTTATTTTTGTCGAAAACGAACACAAAGAAAAAGAACACAGTCAGGCAAAGCTGGGACCCTGATAATACTAAAAAGCAACATTGCATTATAAAAAGAATGATTCTATTATACATGTAGGCTTTTTATTTTATTTTTTGTATCTAAAGACCTACACTTCTATGTGGAATGAAAAAACTGGTTAATCAAACTGGAAAACAAAGTGGTGGTGGGTGAAATGTTACACAAATGAGTAAAGGAGCAAAAATGTATAAATGGAAGAGGCAGGAAATGCTAAAAAGGGGGGGAGAGAGAAAATAAAACAACCATACTTAAATAAATCAAAACAGATGTTACCTAGTCTAGATCCCTGACTGTAAGCACACTACCTTGCCGGACTTTTGATTTCTTGAAAAAGCTGGTCTGCCGTAGCCTGTATGCCCAGCTTTTTAATTTGCGAGTCCAGGATTTCTTGCTAATAGGGTTTTTGAGACTAGGGCAAGTAAAGCTTAGGCCAAAATATCCACCTCCTGCATGCAGGTGCACAGCTCCACCACTTGATGCTGAAGCAGGACAGGCCACAGGGTTCTCAGGAAATGAAGTCTCCGGGGACATCTCCTGAACAAAAGAAGTGGGTGGGGAAGGGACAGAAGAAAGTGGTGTCTGAATAATGGCAAGGGGGAGTCTTGCGCTATACAAGTCGAACCTTAAATATTTTAGAGCAGGGGTAGCCAACGTATTGTTGGACTACCAACGCCCATCATCTGGACCACTGGCCATCCTGGCTGGGGTTGGTGGGAGCTGGGAGTCCAACAACATCTGCAGGGCTCCTGGTTAGCTATCTCTGTTTTAGAGATTGCTTTCTTGCTGAGGGTTGCACATTCAAATCTCCAAGCTCAATGAAGTGCCTATTTTTAAAAAAGATCAATTTGTCAGGTTAAAATAGCCAATGACAGGTTAGGAGGTTATATGTAACTACTCAACAATTTTGCAATGCCTTTCTCCAAGTAGGACATTTCCAATTCTTAGCCCAAGTAGGGCCTAGTAAAGTTCAGTTCTGTATTAATATAGGCAAACTGTTGCTGTAAAAATATCATCTAACTCCCACCCTGTGCCTCTCCCAGCACTGGTAACTCCCAGATACCAGATATTCATCAAGCACTCTAATAAAACTGATCCAGGACAAAATGTTGGGATAGTATGCCTGAAAAGGAAACTTACCTCTCACTTGCCAGCACCCATTAAGCTAGCAAATGGGTTTGTACAGCCATCTAGCATAGCTATAGATTTCTTGTTGCAGGAAGAAAAGATTTCAACCCCAGCCAATCTCCCTGTCCGTACTCACATGCGTACAGAGATCACTGGGAGCAGAGGTGATAGCACTGGGCTCCCTCCTCAGCACTGGCAAACTGTCTGGATGACTTGCAGATGGGATCAGCATTGCCTGGGGGTCTGAAAGCTTGGTGGGGCTTTGCTGGGTCTCTTGGGAGGAGTCTGGTGCATCAAGAACTGGGCCAGGAAGAGTTTCTTCAGCAGACGAGGAGAATGGAGACTCCACGGCACTTTGTGTGTCTTTCTGGCTCTCAGGGGAAGTGCCCGACAAGCTGTGTTCCTGATACAGAAGCGTCCGCAGCTTCTCATCCAGAGTTTTGATGTTGTTGTCGACAAAGTCCATCTTAGGGGGCCCCTCACTGTCTGACTCCAGAGTGGATGCGAAGGGGGCGCCTTCTTGTCCAGGGGTCTGAGCCAAAGCACTGGCCTGTTCTGTGCTCATCGTGTTATCCGCTTCCTCAGTGGATGGGATGTGGCAGGTGGTTGGTCTGGCCACAAAGGCCTCAGTGGGCATACTTTGCTCCGCAATGCCAGGTGTTGGGTGGGGTGTATATGAAGATAAGTGAGTTTCGTCAGCCTGGGTCTCTGCCTCTAAAGACTCTGGCCAAGCAGAAGAATCGGAAGCAGTAACATCATAATTGTCACCAGCAGTGGCAGACAGCAGCTTATTCATGCTGCCTTCCACTTGGTGAGGAATTGCTGACTGCTCAGTTTCCGATGTTTGGGGTTCAGATACCATACTGTCACTTAGCTCATTTGAGCTGGAAGAGGGGATCGTTCTGTGCTGGCTGCTGAGATCTTCCACAGCCTGTGGACAATCCTGGGGGTGATCTTCTTTGGTACTCTCCTTTATATGGTCTGAAAACACAAAGAGATAAAACTGTTGACAAATAACACCCTAGGGAAAGCTATGTTGCAGTATGGCCCTTTAGAACAGTGTTTCCCAACCTTGGTCCTCCAGCTGTTTTTGGACTACAACTCCCATCATCCCTAGCTAGCAAGACCAGTGGTCAGGGATGATGGGAATTGTAGTTCAAAAACAGCTGGAGGCCCAAGGTTGGGAAACACTGCTTTAGAACAGGCTTCCTCAACCTCGGCCCTCCAGATGTTTTTGGCCTACAACTCCCTAGCTAGCAGGACCAGTGGCCAGGGATGATGGGAATTGTAGTCTCAAAACATCTGGAGGGCCGAGGTTGAGGAAGCCTGCTTTAGAAGGACAAAACCCCTGTTAACTGCAGAGAGTGCCCCTTCTAAAACTTGCAATTCAAGATAGGGTAGTTCTCAAAATTATGACTTTAAAAACCAGGGTTTCTGGCTTTAGAGAAGGGGTGTGTAACTTAGGGCCAGGGGGCAAATTTGGCCCTCCTATTCAGCCCATGGGGCTCTCCACAGGTCACACCCCTTTCCACCTCAATGGTGCCTTCCTTGAGTGCTTTTGCTTGGCTGGATTATGTCCTTGGAATTGTGATAATGCCTATTGCTTGGCTGGAAGGAGAGAGGTGTGTACACATGTGTGCAGAAACCTATGCTTTTTGCCTGGCTGGAATGCAGCCTACTGTAAGAATCGCATCTGTTGCTCTGCCCACTTTCGCCTCTCACTTCCCTGCCTCCTCTCTTTGCCCGCACCCACCATATGGCACCGGGAAGGTTGCTCACGAGGAAATGCCTTGATCTGAAAGGTTTCCCACCTCTGCTTCAGAAACAGCTCAGAAAAACAAGCCCAACATATTTGAGGCAGAACAAGCTTTTAGGCTATTATAAAATAAATTCACATAGCATTTTTATAAAGGAGTGTAATGTATATGATTATATAGATAAAACAAGCTCAGGGTGATGTATGTGTCCTATGAGGGCCGGTCACTATTGTAATTCTGTATTCATTTTGAATACTCCTATTCTACTTTTTACAAAAGCCTCGTAATACACTTTTCATAAATATAGAAACTCAGTAAAGTTGTGAAAACAGCAGGGAAAAAAGTGAGCACAAGATAAAATTACCAATCAAGACAAAACAAAAACATTGGGGCAACTAAAACCCTCAGTCAATTAAAAAAGTCTTCACCTGGCACAGTAAGACTGTAATTTTTAATAATAAAAAAGAAGACAACTCCATCATCAGCCATGACCACAATAACTGTGAGCACACTTCATTCCACACATTATTTCTTATCTCTGTTTAAACCTGATCTGATCCATGCACTGCTCTCCCCCATGAAGTATGCATGCGTCTTTCATTAATGATTTTAAAGGAACTTTAAAGGAATTTTTTTCATTTCAATCTATATCATTTTATTTTAGTGATATTTTACTGCTATTTTTTAGAAGTGTAATGTAGATTTTAAATTATTCCTTTATGTTTTATTCAACTGTCTTTGCATACTGCTTTGTGAGGGAACTTGCCCTGAAAAACAGATTTTTTTAAAAAAGAAAAGAAAGAAACCTGATTTCTGGTTAGAAAAGGATAGTGCTTTTTCAGTGCTTACTGTGAAGGTTATTTCTTGTTTGGGGTAAACAATGTGCCCTTCTATGAGGCAGGGAGCACATGACTAACTTTGTTGCTGCATTGGATGCTGATTATTATTATTCTATAACAACAACAACAACAAGTATTATATATTATTATTATTATTATTATTATTATTATTATTATTATTATTATTATTACCCTACCTCAAGGTGGCTTACATATAAAAACGAGACTCACTAAAACTATAGAAAAAACTATCATTAAAATAAAATAAAAAACATCGTAAGAAATAAAATTATATTCATATCATATATAATCTATTAAAATGATGCTTGCTCCAGTTGCATCCCATGGCCAAGCTTGAGACAGAGTCAAAGAAGGAAAAGGCAAAACACAGGAAGAGAGAGGTCCTTCCCAGTAAGAGATGACTCAGCACAGATTGGAGGTATCTGCACAGATTGGAGGTAACTAAACAAATTGTTTAGCTCACTGGTCAACAGGAGTCCATGTTACTTTCTCAACCTGAAGAGGCATCCAACAGGAATGGGATATGCCTAAGCTACTCTGAGGGACGCGGGTGGCGGCGTGGTCCAAACCACTGAGCCTCTTGGGCTTGCTGATCAGAAGGTCGGTGGTTCAAATCCCCACGACAGGGTGAGCTCCCATTGTTTGGTCCCAGCTCCTGCCAACCTAGCAGTTCAAAAGCACACCAAAAAATGTGCTTTCCGCTCCGGTGGGAAGGTAAATGGCGTTTCCATGCACTGCTCTGGTTTCAATGTTCCCTTGCGCCAGAAGCGGCTTAGTCATGCTGGCCACATGACCCGCAAAAACTGTCTGCAAACAAACAGTGGCTCCCTCGGCTAGTAAAGCGAGATGAATGCCACAACCCCAGTCGTCTGCGACTGGACTTAACTGTCAGGGGTCCTTTACCTTTACCTTTTCAAGCTACTCTGATTCTAGGGAGGGAATTTAAGATAAACCAGTGGGAATAACGATGATGAAGAATATGCTGGAACGTGCTGTCAAATGTCACCTCTGCGGAGGCAAAGGGAAAGGGAGGAGGAGGCTCCCACATGGCCACTTACATGCCATCAGCAACTGAAGGGGGAAGCACGGCTGCTGGTGTTGCTGGTGCTGCTCTTGTGGAGTGTGTGCCATGACATTTTTGTGATGTAGGGAGGTGCTGAGCCAGATAGGTCAAGACCATGGAGGCTTTAGACCATCTCACTAATACAGTGGTGCCCCACAAGACAAATGCCTCGCAAGACGAAAAACCCGCTAGACGAAAGGGTTTTCCGTTTTTGAGTTGCTTCGCAAGACGATTTTCCCTATGGGCTTGCTTCGCAAGACGAAAACGTCTTGCGAGTCTTGCAATTGTTTTTCGCTTCCCCCCCCCTTTTCCTAAGCCGCTAAGCCGCTAATAGCCTTTTAGCCGCTAAGCCTTTAATAGCCGCTAAACCGCTAATAGCGCTAAGCCGCTAATAGGGTTGCTTCGCAAGACGGAAAAACCGCTAGACGAAGAGACTCACGGAACGGATTATTTTCGTCTTGCGAGGCACCACTGTATGGTGGGTGAAGTCTTTTTCCCCTAGGGACCTGAAGAATACAAATGGGGAGTCTGTTTGATGGAAGGCTTGAGTGTGTCTGGGACAAGTCTTTAGAACCCTGTAAAGACTAAGCCTGTGACAGGGGATAGGGGGGCTGGGGCAAAAGAAGGGCAAGATCACTTGTTCTGTTCGGTGGAAAGCAGAGTTCATTTTTGGAAAGAAGGCTGTGCACAGATTTATTCTACCCTCGTGAAAAGGTCACACAGATGTGCCAGGGCTCCCAGCTCTGAAACCTCATGGACTAAGATTATGGCCACTAGGAAGGACACACTTTGGGATAACAATGATAAAAATGTGGTGGTCTGGAGGACTGCCTTTCAACTCAAGGAAGAGAACTTGTGTGCTCCTGTGGCCATGAAGAAACAGGCCTCTGAGAAATCAGTGCTTGTGTGGATGTTTGCCAGGGTTCTGAAGTTCTTCCCAGAGAGGCTGGATGACAGGGGTGAGGTCTGTCATTGCTGGGAGGAAGATTGATGTAGGGATCAGATGGGATTACCATGAGGAATTATAAAATATACATCAAGCCATCGTGTCCACAATGAAGACATTGTGTTGACTGGGTTTGATATATTGACAATAATTTCTGATTAAATCCCATAAGATTCTACATTCATGCCCTTTTGATGCCCTTTTGCCTCTACTGCCCATTTCTCTCTCCTCACATGTCACATACACAGCAGTTGCTTCACCAGGCAGGCATCCTGGGCCATAAAGATAGTGGGCAAGTTTCTTTGATGTATATTAATCTTAGGATGTTAATCTTAGGGCCAGGAAACAGATCTCACATGAAGGTGATAATGATCCACTGTCCTCCTGGCCATCCTTCTTATCATGTGTACCGATTGTTTATTACCTCCGGGGTTGCCAGATGCTCTTCTTTGTAGTTCTGTTCTTTGTTTACCCCAGAAATATTTGTGCCTAATTAGTTTTAGTAGTTTAACTTGTCCCCACGTGGGTTTGTGGAAATGCTCAGAAGAAATCTGATTGGTTCTTACAAACACTCTGTAAAAAGCTCTTTTGTGAATAAAATGACCTGGGCCAGGGGGCTGCAGACACGGACACACACAGAGAGACACGATTATACGCACCCTTCCCAGAGTGTTGCTGGTTCAAGCCTCTTGTGTATTCTTATTAATCAGAGTTCAATCCTTCCTTTACTTTGTGAACGCAACATATTAGCCTTTCCACTGTGTCCCTAAGCAGTAAAGTGGGTGTTCCACTGTGTTACTAAGCAGTAAAGTCTTCTGGACGGGTCAGGTGGCTTTTGGGGAGCTTAACTATCAAGCTGTAGTTCTGTAAAGGCTAGAGCAGTGTTTCCCAACCTTTTTTGGGCAAAGGCACACTTCTTTCATGAAAAAAATCTCGAGGCACACCACCATTAGAAAATGTTAAAAAATTTAACTCTGTGCCTATATTGACTATATAAAAAGTACAGTGGTGCCTCGCAAGACGAAATTAATTCGTTCCGCAAGTCTCTTCGTCTTGCGAGTTTTTCGTCTTGCGATGCACGGTTTCCCATAGGAATGCATTGAAAATCAATTAATGCGTTCCTAGGGAAACCGCCTTCAGACCAGGTCCGGGGACAGTCTGTCCCCCGACCTCTTCTGAAGGCTGGGGGGGGGGGACAAGGGCTTTTCTTCCCACTGCCAGCCTTCAGAAGGCTGTTCTGAAGGCTGGCGGTGGGAAGAAAAGCCCTTCTTCCCACCTCCCGCCCCGCAAGCTCCGGGGACAGGAGGGCTTTGCTGCCGACCGCCAGCATTTTAAAAGCCCCTGCTGTCCCGGGG